CTCTTCTAAACCTCTTCTTAAAACCTCTGAGTACCTCTAAACTGATCTAAAGCCTCCTCTGTGTTGCTATAAGCAGCACTAATGTTCCTCTAAATACATCTAAAATGTGTCTAAATCTCTACTGTACAACTCTAAACTCCTCTACACAGCTCTAAAATTCCTCTAAAGAGCTCTAAGCAGCTCTAAAACCAAACTTTTCTAAGCAGCTCTACGCCACTCGAAGCTACTGTAAAACTTCTCTTGTAAGCTGTCAACAGCACTAGGTAGCTCTAAAACTCCCTTAAAACACCCAGAAAATCTTCTGAACTTTCTCTAAATGGCTCTACAGAGCACTGAATTGTCTCTGAATTTGCTGAAATACACTGTTCTTTTGGGGCCAGTGCTTCTTAGCCTCTTCATTAATGACCTGAATGATGGAACAGAGAGCACCCTCAGCAAATTCGCAGATCGCACAAAGCTGGGAGGAGTGACTGATAGACCATCAGTGTGCTGCCATCCAGAGGGACCTTGACAGGCTGGGGGAAATGGGCCAGCAGGAACTGCATGAAGTTCAACAAAGGGAAATGCAATGTCCTGCAGCTGGGGAAGAATAAACTCATGCACCAGTACAGGCTGGGGGCCACCCAGCTGGAAAGCAGCTTGGCTGAAGAGGACCTGGGGGTCCTGGTGGATAAATGGCACGTAAGCCAGTAGTGTGCCCCTGCAGTATCGTGTGTTAGGAAGAGAGCTGACAGCAGGTTGAGGAAGGTCATCCTGGTGCATCTGGAGTGTTAGGCTACCCAGTAAAGGGAAGACATGGACTTCCTAGAGTGAGTCCAGTGAAGGGCGTTGAAGATGATCATGGGATTGGAGAATCTGCATTACAAGGAGAGGCTGAGAGAGCTGGGACTGTTCAGCCTGGAAAAAAGAGAAATTACCCATAGGAATGGAAGAACATAGAGAAAAGGGCATTTCTGGAAGAACGAGATGAGCCTCAAAGAAAAGAAAAATGCATGTGCTCTGTGAGAACCTGTTAATAAAGCCAAACCCCAGAGAAAGTGATCTCTGCATGTGAGCAGCCCACATTGAGCATATTTTGGAATGGAGGAGGAATACCACAAACCCAAAATCCTGAGATTATTATGTGAATACATGAAAAATGTGCTCCCAGAGCACACAACAATGGGGGATTGTTCTCGCTCCTGCAGGCACTGGGTGCTCTCAAAACGCACTCTAATGGAAGATCTGAAAGTGCACACTGAAGGCAGAGTGTTTTATTGCACCTGCTTTATGGATGGGGGTAGAAAACCCAAATTATTTTCCCCAGGAAGCAAACCAAGCCTACAGGAGAGCTGCAAGCTGCAGGCATTGGGGTGTATTCAAGAGAGACCTATTGATGTCTATTTAGTGGTCAGTCCATATGGCCTTTCATCGCCTCTTTTCTTCTGATTCTGCTAAATGTCAGCCACAAATCTGTGCAGGGCACTACCTCGTCTTAAGAGGTGCTGGGGGTCTGCTGATCAGATCTACTGGGAGAATATTTGCATTCCAGACCAGCTGCAGTTCTGGTGGGGCGGAGGAGGGTTGTGCTGTGCACAGCTGCCTTTCTGCCATGGGCCCCAGACCCTGCACTCCACGTGGTACACATCTGGTAAAACCACATGTCGGAGAAGGAAACAGGAGCCACATGGACTGCACGCGAGGAGTGGTTTTAGCTCCCCATGAGCCATTGTTTTCTGCTTGCTTGTCATAGCCTGACCTCCATTTGCCTTTGTCACACAGTGACATGGATCCTCCCAGCTCCCCACGCTGTGTGTCCCAAGCCAGGGCACTGCACTGGTGTTGGGAGTGCTTCCAGCACCACAGTGGAACAAGAAGTGGGCAGGAGATGAGGAAACTGGCAGCCAAAGCCTTTCTTGGTTGAATTCCTATGGTGTCCTGGAGCCCCCCCAACGTGAGCTGCACCCAGGTCACAGTGGTGTACATAGTGGGGCCAAAATGAACCAGATCTTCCCCTTAATTTCTCATTTCTATGTATCTTGTGGCTTTTGGTTTATGGCATGTATTTTCTATTCATACATTACATCTTTATATGTTATTGGTTTGGGTTTCTCTTACTGAAATTGTGATGATTTGTAAAAGAACTACAAATTGGAGGCACTGAGTAACAGGAGGTCCTCACCACAGTGGGCATCCATCAGAGACAATTATCTGCAGAGCTTGCAGCTAGATAACCATGGCAAGGAACAGAAAAGCTAAATTTCACCTCTACTCTGCAAAGGGGGAATAAGGCACAGAGATCAATGTATGGCTTATTTCTTCAATGCCACAACTTTTAAATTTCATGCTAAGTATAGATTTGAGAGGGTGCACATTTGTCACTTTAAAGAAATGCAGTGCACTTAAATGTAAGATGAGTTCATAGGATCATAGGATCGTTATGGCTGGAAAAGACCTTTAAGATCAGCAAGTCCAACTGTTATCTAGCTCTACCAGGCCCACTTCTAAACCATGTCCCTGAGCACCATATCTAGATGGCTTTTAAATATATCCAAGGATGGCAATTCAACCACTTCTCTGGGCAGCCTGTCCCAGTCTTTGATAACCCTTTCAGTGTAGAAGTTTTTCCTAATGTCTAACCTAAACCTCCCCTGGTGCAACTTGACGCCATTTCCTTTTGTCCTGTCAGTTGTAACTTGTTAGAAGAGACCGACGCCCACCTCTCTACAACCTCCTTTCAGGCAGTTGTAGAGAGCAATAAGGTCTCCCCTCAGCCTCCTTTTCTTCAGACTAAATAACCCCAAGTCCCTCAGCCGCTCCTCATAACTTCTCAAGACCCTTCACCAGCTTCGTTGCCCTTCTCTGGACCCTCTGCAGCCTCTCAATGTCCTTCTTATACTGCAGTGCACAAAACTGAACACAGTACTTGCGGTGCAGCCTCACCAGTGCTGAGTACAGTGGGACAATCACTTCTCTATCCCTGCTGGCTACGCTATTCCTGATACAGGCCAGGATGGTGTTGGCCTTCTTGGCCACCTGGGCACACTGCCGGCTCATGTTCAGCCGGCTGTCAGTCAACACCCCCAGGTCCTTTTCTGCTGGACACCTTTTCAGCCACTCCTCCCCAAGCCTGTAGTGTTGCATGGGGTTGTTGCAACCCAAGTGCAGGACTCGGCACTTGGCCTTGTTGAAGCTCATACTGTTGGCCTGAGCACATCAATCCAGCTTAGCCGGGTCCCTCTGAAGAGCCCTCCTACGTTCAAGCAGATCAACAGTCCCACCTAACTTGGTGTCATCTTCAAACTTACTGAGGGTGTTCTCAATCCCCTCGTTGAGATCATTAATAAAGATATTAAACAGGAGTTGGAATGATGCTGAATTTTTTGGGCATATGTGATTTTGTTTTACTATAACAATAATATTTTGGTGCTTACCCTTAAATTACTGAGCTGTAGTTTTGGGTTTCATCTCCAGTTGCACCTTTGTTTTTGTCTGGGAGCAGAGAAAAGATGAAATTTGACTAATTTGTTCAGGAAAAAATAATCTTTTATTCAGAGATGCTCTTTATCACAGTTCCCAGGCCTTCACAAGCTTTTGACATGTCCTCTGGTGCTTGTGCCCTTTACCACAAGGCAGTGTGGGTTTGCTTCTTCACGTACCACGACAAGCCTTTTGAAATCCTTCTTGTTCAATGGCACTGAACTGTAGAAAATGTGTTTTGATTTCTATTGCACCACACAGTGGATATGTCTCTCTCGCAGACAGCTCCAGGAGGGTGTTTTGATGCTGCTGATCGTAGCAGTAGCATGAACTTCTCTCTTGTGCAGCTCTGGAGTATGTGGGTAGACAACCTAAGGGGAGCTGAGCCTGAGTGGCTTCAGGCAAACACACTGCTAGTTTGCAGCCAGGCTTCCCTCGTTATTTTCAGCCATCAACAAAAAGATAGCCTCTTTTTTTCTACAGTGACTTCTGCCTGGGCAGAAACCCCTGCGGAAATTCACGGGGCTGTTAACCAAATGCTCCCAAATCTCCCGCCCCGATGCTCTGCAGTGCTGCCATCTGTCTCGGCTACGGTAGGTACCGTACCTCCAGCAAAGCCTGCGGTAGAGGCCGGCATCTCCTCAGACAAGCAGACTCTTATCTCTCCACCTTGTTAGTTATTTATTTGTACAAGATTTATTTTTTTTTTAACTTTTAAAAGTTTGCAAATAGCGATTAATAATCCCAAGAAGCCTTAGCTTGTAAACATGACTTGTAGAGTGTAGGTTACAGGGCGACTGCGGGGGTTACGGCTGTTTGAAGGGGACATCAAAGGAAGCCGGGGAGGAGGCGGAGGAGGGGTGATGGAGATGCTTTCAGCGCAGAGCTGTCAGGTGATGCCGGCTTCCTCCGCCCTTCGGGCCGGCGGCACTCCGCTCCTGCCGCCTCAGCGCTTTCCTGCATCCCGGCAGTTAAACGCGGGGTTTGGGTTAGGGTTAGGGTTAGGGTTAGGGTTTGGGTTAGGGTTAGGGTTAGGGTTAGGGTTAGGGTTAGGGTTAGGGTTAGGGTTAGGGTTAGGGTTAGGGTTAGGGTTAGGGTTAGGGTTAGGGTTAGGGGTAGGGTTAGGGGTAGGGGTAGGGGTAGGGGTCGGGGGGGATCAGCGTGAGGTTGCTTTTCTCGGAGGAAGGGGTTTTGAGCCCGGTTCTCTGAAAACTGTTCTGCTTTCCAGGCTGCCAGGCGTTACCAGGTATGTGCCAGACCACAACCCATGGGTGGGAAAGGAAAGGTGAAATAGAAAGTGTTTCTGAAATGTAAACTGCGCCCGGTGGTCCCAGTCCTGTCCTGGGATGGTGCTGGCTGCAATAAGCCATTCTTTTAACAACAAGAAGAAGACAATTCTTTCTAACCAAAAATAACACCCTTGCAAGGTCCACTTCTTCTGAACTTTGCCTGGCTAGTTTTGCTGTTAACAGAATTTAGTTGAAACTTCGCTTAAATAAAGATGGGAATCATGTTTATCTCTTTCTTTTCCAAAGAGCTCAATGACACCCGGAAAGAAGTTACAGGGTCTTGTAGCTGCTACAATCACTCCCATGACTCCTGATGGGTGAGTACGAGCCTGTATCACAACGTGGCTTGTCAGGGCTGCACTGCTCACTGTTACTGTAAAACCCTGTCTTCCTTCTTTCTTACTTGGAATGGAGCAGTTCTGGTTTTGTTTTCTTACATTGGATCTCTGATGGGATGGGGAAACTGCTAGGTTGGTCCCGCTGTCACTAGGGTGGGTTCCCTTTGCCTCTGTGTGCTCCTGTTGCCCAGCAAGTGCTGTAGGTCTGGGTCTGGAGAGTTTAGATCAGTCTCCTATCTCTTTTTCTGTTGCTTTTGTAGGTGCAAATTAAATCATAGTAAGGTTATATACATAAAGTATTGCAGTATTTTCCCATTTGTTAAGGCAGATCACAGTCCTAGTTAAAAAGAGCTCTTGAGAGCTAGAAAATTGTCAAAATCTGATGTCCTTTTAGACTTTTCTTTACCCTAGCTAATTCATGTGTATATGTGCGCATGGAATTAGTCTAAACCAGAAGAAAATACTGCAAGGACTGCACAATTCTGAAAATAACAGCAAATCAGAAGTTGAAATTGGGCCTTCCTCAAAGCAGTGATGGTAAACAGATGTCCTCCCTACTGCATTTTGATGTTGCAAGACACAGTTGTTTGGAGTTAGCAAAAGACCCTGAGTTTCTCTGATGGTGGATGTGTCAAGATCTGTACGTGTTTTTGAGGGAGACAGTGGAGATTCGCTAGTACAGTCCTCTGAAAGTGATCCTTTACTTTTTAAAACTGCTGTCAAGCACAGTACTGTCTCAGGGAGCTCATTTGCATTGTAGTTACTGCTTCATTTCTTGCTTTAAAGGAAACTTATTTCCAGTTTAGTTTTTTAATTACTGCTCAAATTTATTGCAACATGGTATCTGCAGAGTGATCTGGGCCCGCTGCTTGGCACGCCTGGCCCTTGTAAGATATGTTCTGGGAAAGCAGCTGTGAAATCTTGGAGGATGTGTGAACCCAGTCAAGGTCCCGGAATTGACTTCCAGACTATAGGTTGGTCTGTACGTTTGACAAACAAAAATAATGGTGAAATATTATACATCGATAAACAAAATTGGTTTGTGCTGCAGAGAAGATAAACCTAGAATTCAATTTCCCCTGTTTGTCAGGGAAGTGTGTTGCTTTCCTCATCCTTTAATAAGAGAGAGAGGTCAAAGTCACATCCAGCAGGTGCCATTTCACGGTCTGTGTCCAGCAGTTATAAGTATAGTTTAACTATTTGCCAGCACTTGCACAAATATCTTTGTGCTTACAAAGAGGACTTCTGTTTCCCTCAACAGTCAAAAAGGTTCGAGTGCCTCTTGTTCTCTCATATCTCCCCCCAAAAGTCCTTTGCTGTGATGAGCCTGCAGTAATTACCAATTGAGATAAAAGGTTGGAACAGTGAACTACTTGTCAGGGAGAAACTGGAAGAAAGAACTCAGAACTGAACTGTTACCTGAAATGTTAAATGCGTGTTTTAAACACATACCATACCTTGGGGTAATTTGTGTGTGTACAAATGCAAGGCTTCAAAAATACCTGTCTTTTTTTTTGGTTTCTCTAAGTTTGATATCTGTGGGTGGAGACTTAGGCTCCTAAGGTTGCTGTGGTTCCTTTCATTTCAGACAGATTAACCCTTCAGTGATTCGTCAATATGTGGATTATCTGGTAAGCGAGCAGAACGTGAAGAACGTTTTTGGTAAGTGTTTTTTTTGACAGAAATTGTGTCACACCCCTTTTGCCTGGATGGCAACCCTACGATATCTTGTCTGATAAGAGCTGTAGTGGGAGGGACGGTGGATGTGGGATCATCCTAGATATTTATATTCACCAGTAAAGAGTGTAAGTGATACTTAGGGCATCTGTGGGATTTCTGTGGGAGATGAAATAAGCATTGCCTTCATACAGTGACATTTCCAGAGATGAATGGATGTTGCTGTCTTGGCAGAGAAGACTCAACTGAATGATTCTCCCCTTTGGCTGGGCAAGATACAATCATCTGATTAAAAAACATGAGCTCAGGAGTTCAGGGAATTCAATAGGCTCATCGAAGCCAAACAGGCTTCTTTAGGAGACCTGTAGTGCACTGGGTGGTACCAAGGTGGTCACTGCTCCCATCTTTCTCCGTTCTGCCTCTGTCTCAGGGACTGCTGCGGAGGCAGCAGGGATGACTGGATGGAGAATACAGCATCTGCTAAACCACTTTTGTTCACATAGTTAAGTAAACTGAAGTCAGTGATAAGATTTAGGTTTGAAACGTATGTGGAAAGATTGCCAAGATGAAAAGCAGAGTGTGGCAGTGACTTCAGCTGTCCCAGTTTAATCTGTTGTCACTGAACATGCTGACATCTCATTGTTTTCCAGGGGTGCTTTAGCCTAGGTAGGACATACGGTTCCACTTATGACAGAGACACTGAATTTCAGGTCAGGCTGTTTCCCTGGGGTGGATGATAGGCAATCACTCTGCCTGGCTAGCTGGGCACTTTATGCACTTGTCATAGCCTGATTCACTGCTGGGAGAAGGAGGTAGTGTCTGCTGGGGAGGAGGTGCTGGGGGGGCACTTTTCCAGTTTCAGCAGCGGATTCTGCCTCCTTCTTCCCAAAGCTTCTGATCCCAAAAGACCCAGGTTTCCAACACAAGCATTTAGTGATGATGGCACTGCAATCCCCATGCAGATGCTGGTGCAGACCATTGCTATCTTAAAATGAGTTGAGGGATAAATATTTCTGTTTAACATCAAAAGTGTCAGTTCTTGTCTTCAGTAAAACCAATGCAAGTAGTCCAGGCCTCAGCAAGTGTGTTGTGTTGTGTTAAAACAGTGAATGGCACTACAGGAGAAGGACTGTCCCTTAGCATCCAGGAGAGGAAGCAGTTGGCGGAAGAATGGGTGTGCCAAGGAAAAGACAAGTGAGTAGCTGAGAGGGAACAGGGGATTCCAGATCTGGTGTTATGGTATAGGCATACCTGATTGCAAAGCCAAATTTGCTGATGACTTTTTTTTTTTTTGAGTATTTTGTTGGTGGTCTTTGTTCCCCAGCTCTTTTATCATAGAAGTCTGTTTTTGTCACTGCCAGTTAGCTGGTGTCCATTTCTGCTGCTTAGAGAGCTTGTAAGAGTCCTTCTCTTTGGTACACTGAGAGATAGGGGGACAAAAAAGAGCTGTGCCTTTTTTTTTTTGCTCAGTAAAGAAGTTATTTGATTGATTGTTCAGTAAAGAGCAATCTGCCTATTAATGCCCTGTGAGCATTTCTGAGCCTTTTAATTTATGCAGTGATGTGGTATGGAGGATGCTGAGGTGTAAAGTGTTTAACTGCTTCCCTAAAGGTGCAAAATCAGTGGCAGAAAAAGGAATTCAACCCAGATCTGCAGCCGTGTATCCAATTGTAGCTCCATTCTCCATCTATTGTACCTGTCATAGTCTTGTATCACTCACCACTGCTGCCTTCTTAGTTCCTATGTCAGAGGAGTGGAGAGGAGGAGATGTTTTGGGTGAGAAGGATAGTGATCAGAAATAAACTGGTGTGAAGGCTCACAGTCTGTATGGATATAAAGGAGAAACATAGAAATGGGACTGACTGGCTGGAATCTGGGAGATTCCCTTGGCAGGGGCAGATAAGCAGTCAAAGATGCTGCTGTGAGGTTGAACTCTTCTGGTAGTTCTGCACAGAAATAGGTTTAGAAAGCAAAGATTGCTTTGATATCCTTTCCTTTTCCCAGCTTCCCCTTAAATCCCTAATGTCTTAATTTTAACTTCCTAATAAAATGCTAAGATTTAACCCTCCTGACAGCCTTGGAAATACGACAGCACAGAATCACACATGACTCATATTTGCAAAATGTGTTTTCTTTTTTCCACCACCAGCTGCTTGCCACTGTCAGCATTTTCCCCGTGTGTCTGTTTGTCAGGTCAACACAGGTTCAAATCCTTTGTTGGTTTAATCTAGCTCAGTGAAGTTCTTGTTCTGTGGCTCCCTGGTCTGAATTGAGTCATTTTGGCAGACTGGTATTTTTCACCATCACTGAAACCTCCCCAGACCTTCTGAATTTGTTTTTGTGCAGATTGGATCATGTGATCATTCATGTGGGAGCACTGAGTCTGCCAGAGTGCCAAGAACTGGTGTGTATATGATATGATTCCTTTTCACTATGTGTGTAATAAATGTAAAACAAATTTACCTTCCGGTACTTTCCATTCTCTCTTTTACAGGCAAGACATGCAGCAGCCATAGGTGCTAGTGGTATTGCTGTAATAGCCCCTTTCTTCTTCAAACCCACAAACAAAGGTGAGTAGATGTGATTGCCAAACCTGCTGAGACCTTTTATATTGCCCTCCAAACCTTTATCATAGATAAAGGACTAATGCCATCTTCTTTCTTTGGAAAATATTCTGGTGATAATGTTTGTGCACCTGTCGTGTCTGGTGCCATGCAAAACCTAGAAGCATTTTTTAAAGATGGGAGATAACAGAATTCTCCCAGTAAGAAGTGGGAAGGATGTCTTTTGGGATGTATTTTGTTAGCCTCTTGTAAAAAGAAGAGTTGCTTATGGAAAGAGTAGTTAATTAGTCTGTCTTCTGAATAGATAGTATGGAGTTCAGGCTTGATCTGGACCATGCTAGGAAGCAGTTGTTTCCATGCTGACCCTTGCTGGACACTGACCAAGTTGATAAACAGCTGACACACAGGTGTGCCTTTTGTTATTGAGGTGATCAGGTTTGGTTCTGTGCATCTAAGGTTACCTCAGAATGTATAAATTGAGTTTTTTGCTTTTAATGCCATGAACCTAACATAAAAGAACCACATGAAGTGGAGGTTTGTAACAGAAATGTTAAAAGTTGTCTGAATTATGAATGGAAATGTTCATATGAAAGCACCAGAAGAAACCAGAGTGGATTGCCAGAATGGCTGGTATTGACAGCCAAGGACACAATCAGTGGCAGTGAAACTGGTAAGTGCAGAGGAACAGCACAAAGATCAGCAGAAGACCTTCGCTGGTGGTAGCAGGATGGCAGTGAGGTTTCAGCACACTGCTTTTCCTGCTATGCCAACATGAACACTGCCTAAGATTTATGAAGGATGCGGTGAATAAGATTCTCAGGAAGAACGTCATCCATAATAACTCTTTGATTCCTAAAATGGTACAAAAAAGTTGTCCAAAAATGTGAATGTAAACTGGATCCCTTGTCCTCTGTGTTGCACGCAAGTGATGCTGGTGATACCACAAGACTACCACACAGGTCTTGTAGTTTGCATGTGTGAGAGCATGCATGAGTTATATCTGTAAGAGAATGAGTGTGAGTTATTGAAATCAGTTTGGTTTAAAATAAATATCATCTTTGCCTTTGCCGAGATCTTCCACTGAGTTTTGTTACATTTAATTTTTATCATGTGTGCAGGTTTTTATATGATTCGCTGTGTATTGTATGCAAGCTGTAGATGGCCTCTCTACAGACCCTGGCTGCTGTGAATCTCAACTGTCTTTCAGTACGGATAGTCTCCTTCTCTTATGGGGGTACTTGCTTGTTTTCTTCCAGATGAGCTGATTGCTTTCTTACAGAAGGTTGCGTCTGAAGCCCCTGCGGTTCCATTTTATTACTATCACATTCCTCCTCTGACGGGCGTGAAGAGTAAGTACTACTTAGCCAGCTCTCCCTGAGCCCATAGGCTCATACCAACCTGCGTAATCCCAGTGGCTGGTGCAATGAGTCTACCAGTACACCAGTAGTATATGGCCTCTGCCCCTATCACATGCAAGCTGTAATGGAAAGGATCCTTTCCGAAAATGGAAGGTGAATCCAAGACTGGAAAATAAGTTGAATTCCTTTTCATTGGAAAAACGTCACAGCTTAGGAGTACTGAACAACTGGGACAGAGGAGGTGATGCTGATCATGGCTTTGCAATTAGTGTGGACCAGGATCGGTAATTGCCTTGGATAACTATAGTTGAATCCTGATTTTTTGCAAGATAGTGACCACCATCTCACTTCACGTACGCTGACTGCATTGTCATGTTTGCCAGTAAATCACAATGAAAATCAGTGTGTAAATCACAGTAAATCACATGTGAAATCACAGTGCTTCTGAAGTCATATTATTTAGCAGAGGAATGAAGAACAGAATACAGATCTTTGGTTATTTGCTCTAGACAGCAGGTTAAGTGGTGTTTCTGGATGTATGAATTTATATTTATCTTTAAATATGTTACTGCCAGTTCATTCCTAAATTTTCACTTACCCAGGGTTTTTCCCTTCTGAACTGGTAAAAGGAATCCTTCAAAGAGGATGGAAAGATGTCTTTTGTATAACTCTGGGAAATAAGTGGTTGTTATAGAGCTATGTAGTTTACTAGGGTTAGACCAAAAGTGAACAACTTGTAAAATGGTAAGTCTCCCTCTTGGGGACAAGGCAGGGAAATCTCCCAGAACTAGGGCATGTTTCTTCATATGAGAGATTGCTGTTCTGCACAGTTCGTGTTGAAGAGTTGCTGGATGGAATAAAAGAGTGGATCCCCACCTTCCAGGGAGTGAAGTTCAGTGACACGGACCTCTTGGACCTTGCACAGTGTATAAACAAGAATGAGAGAGAACAGTTTGCATTTCTTTATGGCGTGGATGAGGTAAGAGGCTCTGCTGAAAAATTAGTTCTTCTATGGCATTCTCTTGCTTCAGCCTTGGGGAAAAAAGAAACCCTGGAAATTCAGTGCTAGGTAGTTTTGCTGCTCCCTCCCACCACCCTTTTTTTTTTTTCTTTATTTTGCTATGTGAATTAAAAATGTGTGTGTTTTTTTTTCTCCCCCCACCCCAAACTAGCAACTGTTGAGTGCACTGGCAATAGGGGCAAATGGAGCAGTTGGAAGGTCAGTATGGCTTGGACTCCTTCCCCTCGACACACTCACTGTATTGTATCTTCCACTGTCTACACAGTGTTTCTCTATCTTCTGTCACCGCAGTGAACGATTTTGCAGGGTAGGGCTGTACAGCAGCAAGCAGACAGATAAGCTAGCTCCAGTGCTAGCGATGGGACAGTCGTATAACCTGGGATCTCGGATTATTTTCGTCTGGGTGATTATTGCTGCAGTCCGTAAGCTGACCCAAAGGTTTCAACATATTTCTTTATCCTCACCGCAACTTTTTGAAGTAGGGAATCACTTTTATCTTTGTTATATGAGTAAGGAACCAAAACCCAGAGAGGTTAAAATAATTAGTTCACATTAGAAGTCTGTGAGGAAAAGGGCTCTGCTGAGTTTAATTTCTGATTTGTCTTCTGCCCGTCATACCAAGCTCCTTAGATGAATTACTGTGTGATACCTGTGTTCTTATGTAGATGATCCATTAAATGAACAAGCAACTGGAAAATTAAGTGATTGATTTTCTCTATTGCCTAGTTGTGTCTTTCTATTTTTAATTTTGAGAAGCGGTTCTATTTGGAAAGTACTGGGAAGAGAAGTATGCTCTCTGAACTCTTCTGTATGGCTTGGCATACTTCAGATGATTGACAGTATAAACCACACATCGATTGCATGAATCTCTATCATAATAATGGCATTCTTATAATGTCAACAGCAAAAGCCTTTGGCTGCTTCTTTTATTTCAGTGGTTCTAAGCTCCTCCTTTGCATTTACCAATTCTCTTTTTGGTTTGGGTTTTTTTTGGCAGTACATACAACTATTTGGGCCAAAAAACCAATCTGATGTTGCAAGCCTTTGCAAAGTCAGACCTTGCGCTAGCACGGAAGTATCAGGTATAGTATGTCTTCACTGTCCCCACTAGGAGAAGCCTTCTTTCTCCTCTAGCTTTACTGGGGCTGTTTTCCATGTGGTTTTGCCATCCATACCCTGAGATAGCTTTATGAAATCAAACTCCTTTCAGCTCCACCCCCCCTGCTTGTTACTCATCTCTCCTCACCTTTTTGACCAGTCTTTGCTAACTTTTAACCAAGACCTACCTTATTGAGCCTTCAACTCTCTAATCTCATCTGTGCGGAGTGAGCAATGGCCTGCCCTTTTTCCTTGAAGAAGCCCACAATAGCCAAGCCCCGTGACTAGGAATATTCTGGGGATACCTTATGTGATGTAGGGCAGAAAGTTGTCCCAAATTAGCTCTGTCTTGCCCTCTCATGGTCTTGGACAGCTTGAAGATTTGTGAGGAGTTCTGACCAATCAGTATACAATCTATACCAAATGTTTTTGTGGGGCATTTAAGGTATCCTTCTTTTGCCTTAAAACAGAAGTGACTGCAGGATGAAAGTCTGAAAGATGATCTGCCCTGGGAAATCTCTTCACTATCATAGAATCATAGAATACCAGGTTATAAGGGACCTCGGGGATCATCTGTTCCAACCTGTCTTGGCAAAAGCACAGTCTAGAGAAGATGGCCCAGCACCCTGTCCAGCTGAGTCTTAAAAGTGTCCAATGTTGGGGAATCCACCACTTCCCTGGCGAGATTATGGCTGATTGTTCTCATCATGAAAAATTGTACTTTTTTGTCTAATTGGAATCTCCCCTGGAGTAAGTTCTACCCATTACCCCTCATCTTTTCCATGTGACTCCTTGTAAAAAGGGAGTATCCGCTAGACAGTGGATATTGAGATTTGTAAACCTGGTACAATTTGTGAGTCCAATATGAGACTTATCAGTGTTCTCACACTGCTTGCAGCGAGGGACAGCTTGAACGTGAGTGACAGACTGAGAGGGAGTAATGGTTTTCTTAGATCCATCCCTCCCCTATTCCAAAGGAATTCAATTAGTATTTCCCATATACTGGCCGGGTGGCCAAGGGCTTTTCCCAAAGCTGTGCAACGACTGTATAAGATGTATATACCATAATAGCTCTAGATGCTTTTACAGCTGAAAATTTGAAGGAGTTAATAAACTACTGTCTGTCTTTTCTAGTTTCTCACTGGGGAATTTCTTAACTTTGTCATCAAACTAGGTAAGTCCTACACTGCCTGTTTCCTTGGTTATATCTAAAAATGCAGACTTGGTGCTCCAGAAACTCTCATGTTACTGTACCCTCAGAACTTCCTTCCTGAAAGATTTTGCAGTGAAAAAATGTCACATCTGCTGTTTCCCGAGTTAGTAGCAGCTAGGAGTTCAACAAAGGAAGCTGACCAAACATCCCCAACAGATTTCACTCTCACTTCCTTCCTTCTCCTGTGAAATCTCACAGCTTTAAAGCTGTGACTCTGTGACTTACCCTTCTACTTATGCTGACTCTTTCTGTGGGTTGTTTTTTGTTTTTTGTTTTTTTTTTTATTGTTGTGTCACCGAAAGCCCATTTCTAGCTTCATTTCTAGAGAGTAATTTTTCTGCAATGGTGGTGCTCCAGTGGAAAATAGCTCTTATACTTGTCTCTCCTGCCTTGCTGTAATTTAAGAGCAAGTCTGTTCAAGGCTGTACAAGGCCAAAGCATTTTAAAATTGAATGATTTTTAGAAAGAAAACCAAGTTTTAATGTAAAAAGCAATTAAACCCAACCAAGTCAGAGTAGTGTAAGGAGACTGAATCGGACATTTCATGGTTTTCACTTAATGAAGAGAACTGTTCACTGTGTTTTTGCTATACATATACAAACCCCCATGAACGTAGCTGAGCTTTAGTGCTTGGGTTAAAAGTCAGAGGAAATGCATTATTATTTAGCCTTACAGATAAGGAGCCAAACACGAATTTCCAGAGGTACATAAGGAGACTTGAGCTATGGACATAGAGGCCTCCTGCAGTTTCCCATGGTGGTTTAAGCTGGAACCCAATGTCATTGTCACACGCCAGCAGGATGTGACTACTTCCAGGGCTTGGCTTTATGTGAGTTTGCATTGGGGAATAGCTATGAGGCTGCAAACATCAGGTTGCGTTGATGACGAATTGGCTGCGATAGCTCAGCCTGCCAGTGAAGGTTAAGTTTGAAGTGGCCTGATTTTTGCTTGGTTTACCTATGGAGGACTCGCACTGTCTTTTTTGTTGTCTGGGCTGCATGGCAGTACATTTTGGCAAGGAGAAAAGAATAAACATACGGCCCTGGTTCTCTATAAAACCGACACAGTAGTTTGTACAATGCATGTCTAAGAAAATATTCTGCTCGGTATCTTCAGCAGGGAAACAATAAGGGTGTAATATATAAATAAATAAAGTAGGCATAATCTTTACTGTAATGTCTTTCCTGTCTGCAAGTATGATCATCTCTTCGTAGTTACACTGTTCTCACTTCTGAGACGTGCTTAAAGCCTGGTTTATGCTGGATTACACAGGAACTCTGTGCTGCTGCTTTTTTGGACACCTGTATAGAGACTGCTTTAAGCAAAATGATCTGTAAATGACCTGATTTTGCTTTTGTCTACCCAGGTTTTGGTGTTGCACAGACTAAAGCTGTAATGACTTTTGTTTCCGGCATTCCCATGGGACCTCCACGACTTCCGCTTGTTGATGCCACTGAGGAGTTTATCGTCGAGGCCAAAGCCAAGCTGGATAGCATTGTGTGGCCTGATGGCGATTGATGTTCACTTCCATGTCGATCTGGAAGTGGAGACTCCTTTTCTGGGATTCACTGTCACTTGGCACACTCCTCACGTGATGGACTGTGATTTCTTTCAGGGAACTGGCAATGTGCCTGAGCCCCTTCCTGTTAGGGCTGGCTTCGTTGGTGCACATGTAGCCACCTTTTTGTGTATCTTTACTCAGCTCCCCTGGAGCTCTGCACATCCCAGGACTAGCTGGTATCTCTTAATGAAAAATTAAAAAAGCAATTTTTCCCCAGTTGAAGGATCCTGACTCCTTTTACCTAGAAAGGAGGAAGATCTGTCTCCACCCTCCCTCCAGCTAGATCATGTTTTGTCCTCTCCCTTCCTAAGCATCTCCAGCACTACGGTGTGTTTTTAAACATTGGTATGACACTGTCTGGTTGCTCAGACTGTTATTTTACTGTTTGTCACAAAGCCATTGGGACACTGACTAGGTATGTAAAATCCCGTCTAATCTCATTGTCTTTGTACAACCTTTGTTTAATGCAAAATTTAAACAAACTTTTGCAACAGAAAGCTTTCGGCTCCCTAATGAGCAGATACTTCTCCATCTTTTTTCTTACGACAAAAAGAGAGCCCGAATTGAGCTGTACATCTCTGTATTGCAAAGCAGAATACTGTCTTACATGTTAGTCACCCACTGTCACACTGAAGGGTGCTCTTTTGCACCCTGGACTGACCCCTCTCCACCAGCTTGAGCTCTTGTTGTTTGACACTACATGTCTGACAAATTTGAAGTCCCCGTGCCCTCTACCTCTCGGCCCGTACCTCCTGACAGTGCAAAAATGATCGCAGGGGACGTTTGGAAGAAGGGAAGAGAGAGGGGTAAAGACTGGAGGCGTGTTGCTACCTTTCCCTAACACCAGAGCGTGAAAAAAATCCACTAACTTCCTCTCGCTATGTAACCCCTGAGCAATAAATATGCAATAATAAAGGCTTCTTTTTTCTTCCCCCTTGTATTTTTAAGAAATTTAGGAAAGCTCTTTCTCAGGTAACTGCTAAGAGGGCCGTCGGCCCCAAGGAGGTTGGCCATGCACCATCAGTGGGGCAGGAGCAGCTGAGGCCTGCAGGGCCCCTTGTCCTCCGAGGACACGGCAACTGATTGCTTGGCCTTTTTTAAATTTAAAATAAATCTTATCGCTGCTGTGCTAATTGTGGCTCACTGAGTACTTCAGTACAGGGCACAGGCAAGTGGCGTAAGGGGTGAATTTTCCTGAAAGGCCCCAATTACTTTGCTCCAATCTATACTCGGCCAAATCCGGGGGCGCTTTGCGCCGCTGAACGCCGGTGAATGCAGCCGCTGGAGCCTGGCTGCTCCCGCCCAGG